ATGGATGTGTAAAGCGCTTTGGGGTCCTTAGTAAAGCGCTACATAATTACAGGCCATTTACCATTTTTTATTTACCATTAGAATTTGTTTGATGATCTGAAACATTGTGACAATAATTTTGGCATACTTGACTAATACAGTCAGGCCTGGCCGTCACCAAAGCGGCGCACTGTGCAGCGATTCGTTCTTATTTTTGCATATTTGTCGCACTCGTACGTTTCTGATCATCAAACAAGTTTATAATGTTAGAGAAAAATAACCCGAGAAATAGAAAAGACTGTTTTTAAATGATGATTTTATTTATTAGTCCACCTTGTGAAAAAGTTTCTGTTATTAGAACTTGTTTGATGATCTGAAACATTGTAACAATAATGCAAAATCCTGAGGGGGAAAGACTCTTTCATAGCACCAAGTTAAAAAATACAGTTACAGGATTAATCTGCACGTCGTCTCTGCAGGTTCGCTGTTGAACACGACGAGGTCGGCACGTAACTCCTGGAAAACCACAAGTTCATGTTTTTGATGATTTGACTAATAAGATGTGATGAGTGAATTTATTTCGGTATCTTTGGACGGAGCCTCTTCGTTGTTTGTGAGAGCTAGCTGTAGCTGTACAGAGAACTACGTACATTCACTGTTAGATTGATCTGACTCTATAATGGTCTACAGCCAGAAAGGCTCTGTTCACATGAGGGGGGCTTGCTCCCAAACATCAGCACTGTGCATCAAGTAAAGATGACCCAAAAATGTCTCCTTCTTCTCGTGCAGCTCACACCTATTTCTACAAAGGCACCAACTACTGGAGATTTGACAATCGCAGATCCGAAGCAGACAAAGGCTTTCCCCGCTCCATCCTGAAGGACTTCATGGGTTGCGTGGGGGTCCCCGACCCGAAGCCCGACGCAGACACCGAGGCGGAAGACAAACCGGTCGAGCCTTCGGACCGAGGCGAAGATGAGCACAAAGAGCCAGACGGAGGCCGGGACAGCGACGCGAACTCTGAGCGAGAGGAGACCGCCAAGCCTGACAGCGCAGAGGAAGAGGAGGACGTGAACGTGGTCGTGGCTGTGGCTGACAACGAATCAAAGGTCATGACCCTGATTATGGTGGTCGTTCCCCTGGTGCTCATCCTGTGCATCCTCGTCCTAATCTACGCCATCCTCAGGACTCTTCAGAACAAAGAGACGCCGAGGGCCTTGGTGCACTGCAAGCGCTCGCTGCAGGACTGGGTGTGACGCTCGAATCGAAGAGA